CTGTGCCCCCACCCCTCCCCTGCTGTGCTGGGGGGCTCGGGGTGGCCTGGCCACCCTGTCCCTGATGGCATCCTTGCTGTGGCCACAGGTGGTGGCCGGGGTGGCCATGACCAGCCTGCCCGGGGTGGTGGTCCTGGCCTTCGCCAAGGCCCAGCTCATCCAGATCTTCTTCTTCCGCCTCAACTTCATCATCACCCTCGTGGGTTTGGCACATGGCCTGGTCTTCCTGCCCGTGCTCCTCAGCTATATCGGTAAGGATCCCCTGGCCCCACCCCTGGGACAGTGCCCTGGCCCTGTGTGCCACCCCCGGGGCACAGGGACAGCCTGGCACCATCCCTCTTGTCCCCACAGGGCCCAGCCCGCAGGTGCCAGCAGGGGACACGCCGGGGGACACACAGGGTGCAGGGCTGGGCTCTGGCAAAACCTACTTCAAGGACAAGGACATGGACAAGCCCGGGAAGAGCTGAGCCCTCCTGGCCCTTCTCACTCCCCTCTTGCTCCCATTGCTGCTGCTGTTCTATTTAAACTGGTTTTCTCAGAGACTGGACTGGTTTAACTGGGGTGGGTGGGGGTGTGTCTTGGCTCTGAAGTGTCACACCGGGATGGGGACATGGGGATGGGGACACGGGGACAGGATGTGTGTGGCACAAGGGCACTGTGGGGACAGGGACATGGACAGTGTGGAGACAGGGATGTGTGAGGCACACGGGCAGTGTGGGGACAGGGACATGGGGGACACAGGAATGTGTGAGGCAGAGGGACACAATGGGGACAGGGACATAGGGGGCACGTGGCACCACTGAGATGGGACACACAGGGACAGGGTTCTCTGGGGCACGAGGGCACTGTGGGGACAGACCAAGTGACAGGCTGGCCGGGGCTGGGAGCCCCCTGTGCTGGTGGCACTGTCCCTGCCCGTGCCAGGGGTGGCACTGGGGGTCCCAAGGTCCCTGCACCACAAACCACTCAGAGCTAGGTGTTTATTGCCGGGCACTACAGGTACTTGTAGACCACGCGGGCGGGCACCGTCTGCAGCTCCAGGCGCACGGGGCACTTGTAGAAGTGGCTCAGGAGGGTCTCGGTGTAGCCCACCAGGAAGTAGATCTTGCTGGGGGGCAGTGCCCGGCTAAGCAGGGCACAGATCACCAGCAGGTTCCCGCGGCGCTTCAGCACCACCTCGTCCGCCAGGAGCCCCGGGAAGGTGCCATACATGAAGCGGCGCAGGAACGAGTCCTCCACTGCCCGCTCTGCCGCGCCTGCCTCGCCGTGCAGGTTACCTGGGCACAGGGGCACGGCTGGCACGGGGGCTGGCACTGCCGACACCCTGTGCCCACCCCACACATCCCTGCTCCCACAACACCCTTGTGTCCCACAGTGCCCTCGTGCCCCACGTCCCTGCCCCTGTGTGATCCACACAGCGCTGTCCCCACAACACCCTGTGATCCCTCCCCACGGGTGCCCTCATCCTCCCCACCCGCTGCCCCTCTGTGTGCCCCACGCCCCCCCACCATCCCCGGTACCCACCGGTGTGCAGGGAGAGCCAGCCCTTGCGGTGGGCGATGTAGTGGGGGGGATGTGCCTGCTCGTAGGTCACGGGCTTGTCCCCTTTGCCCACCCGGACCCGCGCCGCCCGCGTCTGCAGGGACAGGGGTCAGGGGGCACAGCCCGGGGCGGGCACAGCCCGGGGGGCGCAGGGAGGGGACACCCCGGGGGCCCCAGGACTCACCTTGAGGCAGG